GTGCCAGCCTATGCAGCCACACTGTTAGGTACAGTCCAACACAGAACTGCCTCAGGCCATTCACACACATACTTTATGTTCACTATGTGCACACTGTCCACTATCCACTGACATGCTGAATCCAGACTCCCCTCTGTCTTGCCAGTAACTGTTCTTGGGGATAGTAGCACTTTCAGCCATCAGCCCTCACATGTTTGCGCTGTGGTTTTTATGTTTTCTTCCTTTCCTTCTTCCTGGTGCTCCTTCCCTTGAATGGACAATTGCTTGTTTGGAAAGTAGTCAGACCTGAAATACTGTTACAGTTGTGTAAAAGGAGAGATCCGGAGAGGTGAGGAGAAGGCCTTAGGCAGGCGACAGTGACCACTGCTACTGTCAAGGTCTTCATTTTCAGTTCAGACGTTCAAAAAAATGTCTACACTCCCAAGTCACTGAACGTGTGTGAATGAGGGCAAGAGCCAGCAGGCTGAACACAAGGGCGTTTAAGCCTGTCAACAGAAAGGTCTGAAAAAGAGCTGTCTCAGCCATTCTCTTTTGGAAGATGTTGGTGCTTCTGAGCTAACACTGTGTTAGGGCCGTGGTTGGGTAATTAGAGGCAAAAGCCACGTCCTTGGTCTGCAGACTGAAAACCTGTCAGGCGGAGTGGGGCACCAATCTGTCTCATTTCCTGGGTGAACTTCAAAGTTCTGTGAACTTTACTGTCATCATACTGGTTTTGTAAACCTACCTTTGGAAAACAGGTTTGTTTAACAGTGAAGTCAGAGCAAATGACAAAATAATTGCTTTCCCTCTCACAAAAAGACTTTTTGTGCTTAGTTTTAAAAACCCTGCATCTCAACAGCTCTAGACACTTAAATTCAGAAATCTGGTCTGTAGTTTTTATATTTCTCATTTATTTAATCTGGGTTGTGTTCACTTAATTAATCTATTTGTCTGAATTACCTCCAGCTGACCCAGTAGTTTCTGATACAAAAAGCAGAACAGGTTATTTCATCAAGTGTTGTTATTTTTAGCGCCAACTAGTGCAACGCGGATGTTCGTTCCAGGACTATAGAATTTCTATGTCCAGAGTATGTTCACCTGCAGTGGTGATTTAAGCAGTGTTTCCCTTAGATATTTTAATCTATTAAGACATGTTGCTAAGTCTCAGAAGTCCCTCTCACTGTTCTAGACATAACTGGTTCTATACTTTATTAGCCAGGGTCCTTTTGTCTTCAGTTTTGTCTGAGCTATAAAATCCCATGGTTTTCTCCTTGGAGTTTTGTTTTCTTACTATGTAGACTGAAGCAAAATTGCTAGCCATCCAGGAGTATAATGACAGTAATTAAAAATGCATTCACTTTGAAGTGACAGGGAATCGGTATGAAACAGATTGAAGGGTTGGGGGAGTGAATTCGTTTCTCGTTTGACACTGTGATAATTGTACAAGACGAGTTTTTGCGGTTTTACAGTCAGTGCATCTCAAGGCTTCCAAATTCATCAATAGTAATTAAAGTTTCAGATCAGGATATGCATGAGTAACAGAGATGAATGGCCAGGGTTTGCACACCACTTACTTCAAAATCTAAGCTGCATATTTTAAAGTTGCTAGGCATTAGGGCGCTTGGAAGAGGTTTATTAGCTGTGCTACCTGTCTGCTCCTGATTCTGCAGGCAACCTGAAATGCTACCGTGTGAAGACCCCACACTTCTTTTCCTCTTTTTATGCATAAACGCACACATACATATGCATACAAATAAATGAATAAACACATCAAGCAACCTCCCTATAATTACTGTGGACTCAAATCCTGCTTCTTCAGATGTATTCCTTGGTCTGTGAGGAGTCCCATAGCAATAGCTTTGTAGATAATATGTTTTGAAAGCGTAATGTGTTCTGAAAGCATAACCTTTTCTCTCCTCTCCTTGGTATAGTTCAGTCAGAAGCCGCATCACTGCATACTTCTGTGCAGTCCCTGAATGCTCAAGTCCAAGGCAGGCTATAGTCACAGATGCTGTCAAAAGAAAACTCCTTCCACAGTCCTATGTGACCCCTAGGAATCAGAACTGAGGGAAGGAGCCAAGTGATTTCCACAGTCACCTTCACTGTCGTTGACCTGGCCACCTCTGTCCAGTTCTGTGCATGTTACAAAAAATGGGGGGGGGGGGGGGAGTGGTTTAATGGAACAAAGGAACAGATGCTTCGTTGGGGAGAAGTGGCTTTTTGTGCTATGAACTAATCTTCTCATCTATGCATAATAACGGTAGGAGTTACAGTGACAACCTTTCATCTGAACTTTAATTTTATCCTCTTCAAGCCTGTAACACGTCAGGAGCTCCTTCCAATGGGAAACAAACTGCATACTTTCAGATGGAAAAGCATAAACGATGAAGCAGCTATTCGTTAAAGTTCTGCATTCATAATATGTTCTAAGTTACAGTACTAACAAAAGGATAAACAAAACATTTCAGAGAAGTTCCATATAGGAGATACCTTAGACATGGTAGCTTTCACCTAAAAATCTGGAGAGATGGGAAAGAAAGAAAGAAGTTTGGTTTGTTGTTTCTGCCTTTCATTATAAAGTTCTCATCATTTACATCTCAAAATCCCTGAATCCCAATAAACTGTTGTTTCCTCTTTCTGTGTTCGTCTAGGCAATGGATTTAAACATTCCAGTGCTGGCAAGGAACATTCCTGGGAATGCAGCAATAATAAAACATAAGGAAACAGGACTGCTATTTTCAAATCCTCAGGTAAGAAAACAACAGATCCTTAGGCTTTTCCCTTCCAAAGCCTAGGTTCATTTTCCATGTTTGTGTTGGGAAACTTGGCTTTTCCTCTCAGCAGCTTTTTCTCAGGTTCTCCTAAAATGCTGTGTTTTAGACTGCCTTTCTTTGCATTCACTTTGCAGTTCACCAAACTTTGACTAGGTGTCAGCCTTGCTGAATGTTTGCCTTGCCTGTGCTGCTGTACAGCGGGCCATCTGAGTGGCGCACTTAGGTTTGAAGGTTCCATAAGCCTTCCAGCCCTGGAAGAGTTGCTGTACTTGTGTCACGGTTCCATTTAAGTAGTAACTGCAATACAGACTCACATTTGACAAGCAGTTACTAACCAAAAGAGAACTAAGAGCCTGAAGTTTTAGATAATACATTATCTCTAATTTCTAGCAGTAAGTGTTAATATAAAGCACTATTAGGTTCAAGATACTGCTCCGTCAGAAAATAATTAATGATTAAAATTAAGTAAAGGGTTAGAATGGAGTCTCTGTGAAGATAAGTGAGAGTGGGGAGAGGGAACACTACCCCTATTTAAATGCTAGAAATTTTCATTTCAGTATATTTTCCTGCATCATGGCTTTGCTGTTACACATGCGTTTTTATCTAACTCAGGACTAAAAAAGCCCTTACTAGAATGGTCCATTTGTAAAGTAGAAAATGCATCACATTTATTTACTTTATGGAGTGTGTGTGTGTGGTTAATGCCTCCTGTGAAGTTGTACTTCAGGAAGGCGAATACTCTCAGTTAATTTGGGGGGCTTTTTAATGGAAAAATTCTATTGTTTGCTTGAGTTTTTTGGTTGGTTTTTGGTTTTATGGGATATTCAATGTTTCCAATAGCTTCTACGGATAAGAAAATTCTTCGTTAACATCTGAAATTTTTTCCTCTTCTTGAAATGGGATACTTCCAGGCTAGTGGAGGCTGAGATATAAAGCTGTTTATAAAATCCTTTGTATTCCCTGCAAAAGCCCATTGACTTCCATATGTTTCTTCAGAACTTGATGGATATACGGTCATGTTGAACACACAGACTGATAGCTTCCTTGCTACGAATTCTCATACGTTCTGTTGGTTCCCTCAATATGCCGATTACATTTGGCTTGTAATTCAAATACATTATTCATACCACACCCAATTAGCTTCATCATACATCCTTGTAAGAAGCCTCTTTTGCAGTCTCCAAGCGTCCTACATTCCGAGTGTTTCTTTGGAATCCAAGATCAATTAAAAATACGCTATATATTTCCTTACTTGAAGGAAAGTGCAAATTTAAATACAGAAGTAGGCCCAGTGACATCAGTGGCTCTGTAAAAATGGCTAAGGACTTCCTTTTATGTCAGAACTAGAGTCAGAGGCTGTAAATATGTCTAGAATACTGTAAGCTTAGTTTATATAAACCCCTTATGTCTGAGATCTGTTCTCTGCACCATGCTATAGCAAAGATCAGAAACTCCCCTATTCTGCTTTCTGATCCCCCTTTTGCTATTATTCTATCTCAGAAGTCCACAGAATCTCTTTTAGGTGAAGATGGTGACTTGCATTACCGTATTCATACTCACAGGTAATATTTGTATTGGAATCACTAATGTTTGTGCAGATAGATAACCTGTCTTAGAAAGGAAGTAATATTCCTGCTTTTCTGTAAAACATCAATTGTATCTCATTTAGTAAAAGCCGTTTTATCCTGTCACTGTTGTCAAATACAGTATAAACTATCAAAGTTTGCAAATGGGTCAGGAAAGTAGTCGTTTACAAGGGTAATACTCTTAACTCCACTGCAGAGTTGTTGAAAACTTCCTTCATGAGCTCAGAATGCCAATCATCATCACTCATGGTTTTAAAGTAACCATTTAACTCTTGTTCCTTATCTCCCCAAACCATATCAATTTTTAAATCACTGTACATAGTCTATCATGGGATGAGAGTTATATTCGATCAAAGAAATGTGATTAAGTTAAAACACTTAGAGTTTCAAAGTAGGTTTCATATTTTCATTGTGGTAAGAAGGAACAGTTTGCCCATGGCACTTTGGATACTGCCTTAGATGATTCAGTTGACAATAGCGAGCAGAAAACATATCTTCTCGTAAGTTTTGTGGGGTTTGTTACTCTGATTATTTTGACCTCTTAAGTATCTGGTAAAGTATTTTGTGCTGCAACCTCAATTGCATCAGGTTAGTTGGGGAAAAAGCCTTTAATCATATAGGGAAGATTACTGTTGTGTTCAGGTGTTTGTGAAAGTCTCTGCCTTGAAGAATCTGGACCACCAAGGATTAGAAAATGTCAAAGAAGTTTTCATTGCTACGCAAGTTCAGTAGATCCTGTCTGGTCGTGGTGCCACAGACTGTAGCACAGCTCAAGAGCAGGAAGCACTGCTTGTTTTCAAGTCGTTACTGATCTGGGGAGGGAAAGCTTTACAATAAAGTTAGCTTAGGTACGAGCAATGGTGTATGGTCTGTGGACTATCTTATCTTTTGAAAGCTAAGTAAGAGGGATATAGAATTACCATTATGCAATGAGAACTGGTTTAAATTGTGAATGCTGATGGTTTTGTTCTTCGTTCTTGCTGAAAGTGAGCATTTGCAGCTTACAGGGAAGTAGGAAATTCTGTGCATGACTGTAGTTATCGTTACCCATTTGCATTTATGCTGAAGCTACTTGACTGGAACTAGAGAAAGCCTTGCCAGTCACTGAAGGCAACACTTGCATAGAAACAGTTAATGGAGAAGTGAAAGCTATGAAATGTTTTGTCCTTGATACTACCTCACTACTTTTAAATCATGGTTTGATCCTGCCATTACTTGAATTTGCAAGTTTATGGAATATTTGACACTGACTTAATAAGACCTGAAATAAAAAAATAAGTAATAGATAAGAATAGGGCAATAAATAATGCAAAACCACGCTAAAAGGGAAGACAGTTATTCAGCATTCAGAGTTTCAAAATTACATGTTCAGCATCTGTAAAAGCTCACAGAAGGAGCTAAATAAACAGAAGGAGGTAAATAAACTTCAAAGCCAATAAGAGAGGCCAAGCACCAACCAAGTTTGAGAGAGTGGGTCCTGGAAAGAATTGTGTTAGCAGTGACAACTTTTGAAGTGGTAAGAGGGAAACACAGCTCAGCTGAGCACAGGCACCAAGACATTGAATGTACATTACTCTCCTCTGCCAAACATGGGTCAGTGCCATTGCCACCAGGGCTTCAAGCCAGAATATTGCCCAAGTTTTCAGAGCTTTCAACCTTCACACTGAACAGCCTAATTTGCAGTTTCTGGCAGTGCCAGCAATCACTGTTTATACTCCCCTAGAAATACTGGCCTGTTGCCCTGTGAAGTACACAGATGGGCCAGCTAACCAGAGCTGTGCCCGCCACTGGGTAGATCTGTCGCTATTCTGAATTTACATCTGGTGCTTGCCTTCCCTTGGGTGATTCTCTGTTGTTTAAGAATCATGTTCCTTTATCTGCTGAAGCTGATATGAAATGGTTTAATTGCACAGTTACTTTCATTACATAAATAATATATTAACCATGCATCTTACTTTCATTATGTGTGAGCTGCAGTTCCGATGTAGTTCCCATGGTAGTTGAAGGAATAGCCATTCTTTTTACTCAGTGCACACTCTTCCTAGCTTTATTTCCCAGATACCTGTATAGCTGTGTCTCTGCAAGATATTATACAGAATTTCTTTTAGGAACTATATAGAGAAGCTGACATTTTCTTTAAAGATGGTAGGTCAGTTTACCAGGAAAAAAAAAAATGTATTAGGGATGCTGCTGTTGAAAAATGCTTGTGTTTGAAGTGAAGTACTATCCATAGAAAGGGCACATGTAGTATCTGTTCTGGAGGTACATAAGATGATCTTCTCTCCTGTTTGTTCTGGGTAGTGGCTAACTACTGAGGTTCAGCTTTTACATTGTTTTTCTGTCACATGTAAAGTAATAATACTGATTTCTGTGTGTGAATAAAAGGCTTACTACAAATACAGATGTCCCCCAATAGTAAATTAGCATGCGTATCACTTCCTTTATTCTGGCTGCTGAAGTGCATACCCTTATGTTTGATAATTGGAAAGTAATTGATGAATTGTTCCCCTCTTTCAGCAGGAGTGAAGGTTACTTCACATCTACAACAGAATATGAGCGTGCACAAAATTGTATGCAATATCGCTTGCACAAATTCAGCAGGACAGCTGATAGAGCCATGTTACCACACTGTAAATAGCTTGTGTATCAGAAGCTTCTAGAAAAGAAAAATTGAATGTTCAATTTTCTGAAAAACCTCTGAGTTCTGAATGTCTGCATTCTGCACATGGGAGCTTCAAACTTACCACAAAACTGCGACTGAAATGCAAGTCAGTTGTAGTTAAGGGAGACACCTGAAAAATGAAGTTACTGCTTTCTAAAGCTGAGCATCCAAACCAAGCTAAGCCAGCTGTTCAGAGGGTATGAGGCAAAACCCAGATAAGTCACAGTGAATCTTCCCATTGGCTTCCAGTCAGATTGCAAGTGACCTGTAGGCGGTCACATTTGTTTAGCAGAAGCAGAGATAAAGCTAAGAGGTCCTTATTCTTTGCTTCCTGGTATTTTTTCATTTGCTTTTTCTCCCTTCTGCAGTTTCTCAACTTTATGCTTTGGAGTCAGTTTGGCATTTTCCTGAAATTATCTCCAGCACTAAATATTGTAACTGTGAATAAGGATCTAATTTCTTCTATCATTTACATGTTTCCAAGTTTTTGTCCTCTATATCCACATTCTAAAAGAATGCTAATAGGAGTACCTGTCAAGAAATGTTACATTGCTGCTTCTGATCTTAGGTAATTTACATAAATTATTTTAAACATTACTTTAAATAAAATCCTCCACAGGAACATAAAATTAAAGTTGGAATGTAGTTCAGTGTGAACAGTATTTATTACTGTGATTATATAGGCAATTGGATGAAGCCAGCATAAGTCATGTAAGTCTTTCCCACCTTGCCTGCTCTGTATTCTTGGCAGATACTGAGGGAGGAAAAGAATGCGGCTCTAAAGCTGGAGTCAGTGACTGTATCTGCACTGTCTGAGAGAAGCAGCCTCAGAGTACTTACTGGACCAGCCTTACTTAGTATTTTTAGGGTGAGAATCACAGGAAACCAGATAACTCCCTCTTTGGGCCATGTGAGTTCCAAGGGAGAAACTGAATATACTGATTAAACGAGCACATACCTGAACACCAAGGTAGTTGTGGATGGAAAGTGGGCTGGATGTGAAGCATGTGGTCCTCCTGGCTAGTCCAAAGGCTGATTTGTCAGTGCTGTGTGGACAGAGCAAAAACTGCAGTACCATAAAATAAGGGGTTGTTAATACACATGTATGAAAATCTTTCCATTACCTAGTTACAAACCTTTCCGACTATTCAAATTTGATGGCAGTGATGCATATATTGATAGTTTGTCTTATCAGTGAGAGCCAAAGCAGTGATTATAACATGTTTAATGTGATTTAACATACCAGTGTTTCCCAGGGGTCACTTTATAGCTATGTATTATGTATAACCATCACTTGCATTACAACAGGGAAATTGATTCCGTGGTAACCAAAGATTTTCTATCTGTGTATGTATATATATACACTGTGTACTTAGATTTTCAAGTATAGCTTAGTAGTTAACCTAGTGTTGATATGAATTCTGGTCTTGTTTGTGATAATGCTTTTCACAGTCAATACAGTAACGTACCTCTTTCTCCCATCCTTTTTGTCCCCCTCATCCCTATGCACTGATCTTCACTACCAGTTGTGTAATAATGTAATATCTTAATTTTCCATTGACACAATAGCGGTCTGCTTTTCTGAGCTGAACCAAGACGTGATTTTGCAAAGATCTGAGCACATTTATAATCAAGCTAAAGTATTGGAAGTTGTCTCTTGATGGAAAATTCAACCAGCTGCTCTGAACAGATTAGTTCAGACATCAGATCTCCTTTCACATGTTTGAAGTTCAGTTTCTCTTCCTTAGAACTAAATAAATTAGAGTGGCAGAGGAGCAGGCAAAGGAAGAGCTGTATTTTGGCCAGTACAGTTAAAGGAAATTAATGTATTTTATTGCAGAGCTTGTTTTGCTAACACTGCTGTGTCTGTAAGTGCCCAAATGCATCTGCTCCAGAAGAGCCTGTTGCTGCCTGCCTGTGCTTATCTTCATACTGTAACTATGTTTATGTTGGTTTTTAGTCTTACCATGAAACTAGCTAAAGATGTCACAGCAGCAGTGAGATACAAGTTTAGCTGAGCTGAGGTCAAACGCCTGTTGCCAGTTGTCCTCTGTGCAGGAGACCACATGAATTATTTCATTTATAATCAGCCTGGTTTTCTACCACTTGGGCAGGCAAACAATTTTTGAGTCATTAAATTTGTTGCTCTTATTTGTCTTAATGTTCTTGGGGTTGTCTGTGATTTTAAATGTCTTAGTTGGTGGGCTGTGTAAAATGATACACAGAATAATTATTTATTGATCACTGTTTATAAATACACTATGATACCTGACCCTGAAAAATTCATTTGTACAACTTCATGTATCTATTGGCTCACAGTTGAAGAGCTTTCCTGAAATCACAGCCCATGTGGGTACAAGCTAGTTCAGTATCATCAGAACTTTCTTTATCTTTTTTAGGAGTTTGTTGCGCTGTCCAAGAGTTTGATGAATGACCCCATTATGGAAAAAGAAATTGTAACAAAAGCCAAAGACTACGTGAAGAAACATCATTCATGGGAAAGTGAAAGAAAAGCGTACGAGAACCTTGTCCTAAGACTCCAGTGAATGGCAAGACCACAACTGATACCCACCAATCTATGTAAAGCACTGTAATGGAGGATGTACAGTTAGATTTGGGTTTCTCTTGGTTTCTTTTCTGAAGAGATAATAACACATGCATTAATATTCTGTTCAGACATACCAACATCACAGGAGTTGTCTACTATTCAAACTCAGAATTTATCTAATTCAGCACACTGTCTCTAGTGTACCAGTTCATCACAGACCAGCACCATTTTGTAAGATCACATAGAAGTATACTCTTTGAACACAGTTTTTATTGTTGTAAGGCCTCAAAGGGAGGATTTCTTGTATACAGTGGAGCACACCACCACATGGAGCCCACATCACTGTTCTAATCATACTGCATCCTAACCAAACTGCAGTGTCAGTTTTCTTTCCAATTATACCAATCTGAATGTATTTAGGTACATTTGACATGCACATACATGTTCAGAAAGCCAAGATTAGATATATAAGCAGAGTATAAAATTATTAGGATGAAAGCTTTCTTAAGACTGGAAGAGCAACATTTCTATTGACTGAATAATGATCTACAGTCATACAATGACTGCATAATTGCCAAATAGCAAACAGGAGTGTTGCTGCTCCAGAAGAGTGAGGAGTATAGGGCATGTTTTGTGCTGCCCTCTGGGTACCTGAACTGCTCTCAGATTAGCTGATGTGACCAAACTATCCTGTGCCTGCTTTTCATCTTGGGACCACAACAGGAGAGCTGGCACAGCACCTGCAGCCGTACATGGCTTCAGATTCCAGAACTGCACAGCACTGCCTACAGCAGCAAGACGTGCTCGCAGACAGAGATGCTTTGTTACATGAACTACCTCTTAGTTTGCCAGTTTGTTGGTACCTCTGTGATTTATTTATTTACTAAAAGATTTATGAGAGCTGTGAAAAGGGAATGGGGGGTGGGTATATTTTCAATTTACTAAGTATTTTGGTACTGTTTGTTCTCATCTGTGGCTTTCAGGATATATTGCAATATACTGTATCAGGCTGTTCTGAAGTGAGACTTACCTGGGTTTGAAGTCCATACTAATCATTCCTTCCAGCTTGGTGCTTCTGGACAGATCTTTGAATCTGTAATTGGTCAAAAAATTTACATTTACAGAAAACAAACAGAAAAGGTTGTATTTTTAACTACTTGTTATTAGGAAACTATTTGCTTTGTATAGGCTTGATCCTTCCAGTAAAAACCAGTGGGATGTTTCCTACTGATGTAATGGCTGTTTTATCAGACTTTTCTTTGTGATAATGAAGTCCACTGTGTATTTTAAGCTTTCCTCTTTATTTTTGATGTTTTGCAACTGCTGGGACAGTAAAAAAAAAGGCAATTTGAATGCCATATATTGACTTCTCCAAAATCTTCCCCACCTTTTATTGTAACAGGCTTATGCTCAGCATTGCCTTCAATAACACAGTCCCTCAAGGGCAAATCTGCCCTGGCTTGAAGTCCAAGCATTGCTACATTCCTTTTTGAGCACAATTTTCCTAAATATTTGTGGTGTATCCTTTGGCATGCTGGGATGTAAGAACCTGTGCGCTAGTTCTCAGGTTACAATCCACCAGCCAACATCTACCACTGAGCAATTGCTAAGCCTGCAGCTGAATCAGCCTGTTGCGTTTTCCCTGCTGTCTCAGGAGGAGCTGTGTTTCTCTGGACATCTCCATTACCAGTGACTGTTGAGGCCTCTTGTAGGATGGCAGTTGACCACTATGTACTGAAGGAGGAACCCAACAATATGGATTTTCAGCATGATGTATGTGGTGTGGAACTGTAACAAGCAATAAAAAAACCCCAAAACCCTATTTAGACCCAACTGAGCTCACCGCAGGGAGTCCTGTTCCTCTCGAAACATCTCTGCCACTGTATCTCTGGTACTGGCTTTGATCCTTCCACCCAGAAGACAATCAAGTATTGGATGTCTTCTGAGAACTACAAATTGTTAAAAAAACCCCAAACCAAATACATAAAGTGTGATAGAAGTCTAAGCATTGAGCTAGCGGTAAATTATTACTCATAGTAATGATTAGAAAGCTTTTTCTAAAGCACAATACATTTATAACCAACCTTCAAGCAATTCAATACATTGATCTGGAATTTGTGCTATTTCCAGCAAAACAAAACATGTTCAAGTGAGAAATTCTGCTACACCCTCAGAATGTAATTAACATATGATTTTTCAGGCTGTATTTAATCTATAAATACAAAATCTGCATCTGGGAAACAGCATGCTCATTTGCATGTGATAACCATCACAGAAGCACAAACAACCCTTCTGTGATATATGCATTAAGGGGGAAAAAAATAGAAAACAACCAAAATAGTGGTGAGCTCAGCCCTCAGGACTGTTTCACAGTCATCAAATGAGGCAGCGTTCATCAATCAAGGGCATTCAGCTTTGATATCATTTATCACTGGGCTTGTGTTCTGCAACGTGAAGCCTGTCTATTAAGGCTAAAAGGTTGGGGCAACAACTGCTAGGGAATTTCATTGCAATAAATTGCTGTTGAATTTATGTTTTAAATTTCATCCACTCTTATGTTCCAGCTCCATAAATATTCAATGAGATTTGCAAGTCCTTGTACAGAAAGTATTAAACCCATGCAAGGAATTTTAGGTATATCTTTCAAGCAACTTCACTCAAATAGTTGTATATGTAAGAATAATCCTTTTATTGTCCTGCAGCCCTAATTATGGTATTTATCCTGCCCCCTTCAAAGCCCCGTTTCTTACCCTAGCAGCTTTTTAAGCAAGGCACAGCTTGATGAGCTACAGATCCAAAAATAGCACTTGGACTGTTTACAGGAAAAACCTGCATTGTGCATTTACCCCATGGCTAATTCTGTATTTCAGGACCTTAAAATGTTATGTTAATTAATCCAATTATATGGATTTTATTTCGCAATTAATTCTGCCATTGAATTCGGAGGAACTGAATGAAAGCAGTGGACCTGTACAATGGGTACTACTATGCTGTTCCCTTTCTTGGCACAAGTACTTCAGAAGTGGAGACGATTTCGTAGTGTGTGGCAAAACCCAGCTAGAGCCTGGGGAGTGTGGAACGACAGCTTCCTGAAGGGGGATTTCATTTTAATTAGCCTTAAAGCAGATACAGTCCAGTTTTTGGAGGTTGTTTCTACATTCCCATTGCAGCCATAACCAGTGTGTGTGCTAGTTACACTGATACTGTGTTAAGTCTTCCCATTTCAGCCTGCTCCCAGGCAAAATGTTGCTGTTGGCTTAAACCAACAAGGATTTACCAGCTACCAGCTCCACAGCCTTGGCTCTGCTGTTCTCCCTTCCGTGGCTTCTGCACTAGCAGGCAACTGCTCTTACTCATTACAGAGGGCCTCGGTGGGAAGCAAAAAGCACCGGAGGAAGGAACTTGAGTATGACTGTGGCTGTGAGGGTATTACTGTTTCATTGCTCTAGAAAAGACTACATCAGAGCAGTCTGAGCTCCAAAAATAATTCAGGTGATGTGGCACTTTAAATTCATCTTTGAACACAACAAAAGTTGACTTACCAGAGTTATTGGGGGTGCCAAGGATTGCAGGACTCCTCCCTGTTCAGCCATGGTCAGTTTGGTAGCTCAGCTCAGTCAACAGCTTAATTCGTCCTTCTGGGATGCCATCTGCAATCCGACCACTGTGATTTCATTTTCTAACAGAACCTTAGTGCTCCAAATCAGCAAAGGCAGTTGTTTGGTGACCTCAGGGAAACTGGTTTTGTTTTGCTGTTAACTTTCTTGACATAGCAGGACTTAAAACAACTGTCAAAAGAAAATGTTAAATAATATATTGGAAGATTTCAAAGTATTTGTGCTCCTTCTGAAAATCATTTACCATCAACTCTTCCTGAGTATTAAGAAATCCAAACATCTACAAATGATACCTTTATGTTTAATGAATACACAAGTAGCTCAGTCTGCTGTTTTCAATGTATTTTCTCCTGTCTGTTGGGCTCATAACCCCTTCTGTCCCTTTCTTCCCTCAGTCTTTTTAATCCTTTGGTCAACAACCATTCCATGTGGAAATAAAGAAAAGTTTTGTCAAAGGCTTGTCAGAGGAGATGGGTGCTTCCATGTGGAAATCAATCATTAGAGGCTCAGTGGGACCTGAGCTGTTTCTGTTTTTCATTAAGTTGTCTAAAGTGATTTCATCACTCCACGATTTATTAAACTTCCACCTCTACTCTCTGGTTGGTCCAAGTCCAGTTGCTTTAATGTTTGAAACATAAACCCCATGTAAGAGCAGGTCTCTGCAGCCCTGGCACATGCCCCAGTATTCTTGGAGGCCACAGGTAGCTTGAATTCTGCCTGACACAGCCAAAGGAAAGCGTTGATCTTCCAAACTCTTAATTACATTTAGAATTTTAGAGTAAAGGGTGTATTATTAAAACAAAGGCCACCAATAGAAGAGCAAACAGTAAGATACAAAACCCAATTACATTCTCTAAAGGGGTGGGTAACTTTTATGTGCACTTTAATCCTCTTTAAATGAACTGTATTTTCATCAAGTAACTATTCTGTGTCATTCCTATGATATCTAATTCCAGGTATTAAATATTGAGGGTACTTGAAACTTCTCATCCTTTCCAACAATGTAGGGCAGCATTTGTTTTGTCCAGTGCCTGAAATACGATTCTAGAACTTCATTTCCCCTAGAGCATTACCAATCAGCTAGTTTAAACCATTTGTTTAAAATTCAACAACACATTTCGTTAACAACAGCATAAAACATCTGCTTACTGAGAACTCATTGATGTGGACCCCGACCTGAAACACCCCCACGGCACCCTTTAACCCTTCCTACTCCAGGGGCAAGGCACATCACCTCTTCCATGACATTCTAGCATTCTTCTCACATTGCAATTTCCATTCTTGTGTACTTCAGCACAAATCTCCTTAAGTCCAGCTACAGCTCTAACCTTGCTAGATAGAGGTCACTTATTTCATTTGTCTGATTCAATCAAGTTACATCAGGCATTGAAACGAAATGCCCCTGCGCTGCTTCAAAAATTAATCCCTGCCACTGAGACACTGCACTGTTATTTTAGTGGCTTTAATGAAGTGAAATGAGTTAGGGAATCTTTAATTTAACTGCAGTAATCTATCAAAAGCTTACATACTGGGAGCGTGGCCTTTGCCAGCCCCTACAGCCACCTAGCTTCTTTCCACAGTTTTCTTCAAAAGATACATATAAGTATGCAGTCACCTGAAGTCACATCTAAAATATGTGATTTCCTGCTTAACGTGTACAAGTGCTTGCTTCTTGCAGCACCCACTGCGATGCATGCCCAGGTTAATCCCTATGCTTACCCACTCTTGTTAGCACTAGCACCCTTGTGTTCTGAGCAGGAAGGAGGCTGCAGGCTCTCTCTATGGCTTTTAGGCACAAGGCTGTTCTGGTCTGTCAATACCATTGATAGTAATGATTGGCTCTACAGCCCCTGTTTACATACCCATTATAATCCAGCAATGACACCAGCTATTTGAAGAGCAAGGTAAGGCTGTAAAGGTAACACACTCTAACAAAGTAGTAATGTTTTCAAATATTGGTATAAAATATTATCACTTCAGTCCCTATTTAGAAATCGACCACTGAATTCAGACTGTGACACCGATGTGGCACTACCTCTCACTCTTCAAACAGCATCAGCAGCTGTTAGGTTACAGGGTGCTATCTGACATGAATAAAGGCATTAAAGGCTGTCTCACACTTCATAATGTGGTTTAAAATAAGTTTGTCTTGGCCAGGTATTAGTGACAATATGGCTATTTACAAGCTGCACTGCAAGCCAGGCAAAAGCAGCAGCATCTTTTCCTGTATGAAAGTAGAGCAAAGTAAGGCAATGGGAAATTTAATAACCATTTTCTGGAATAGGAGAACATTAGTATTACATGTTCTGAATATTCATCATGTTTTAATACCATTTCATTCGCTTTTTGATCTCAGTATGACCCTAGTAATGATTCTGCTCTGAACAGGTTTAGTATCTTTCACAAAGCCCTAAGCTCATCTTCGGTTTTGTATTTACTGTTTCTTACTGATTACATCTCTTCTTGTAGCCTTGGGAAATGCTCTGAGGTGTCCCCAGAGTATTGTGAATCTAGTTACCTAGTGCAGCTTCCATCCTTTTTAGTTACTTTTCTGTAGCTTAATGAGATCATTCTTCTATCCCCTCCACTCTTAAAACATTTGTCCCTGCATGTTGTTTGAATAAGACATCAGGATGTGTTTAAGGAGAAGTCTCCCAGCCATCACTGTTGAGTAACACTGTTCTACACTGAAGCTACCTCTGTCCTTTCATCCTACAGCCTGCTGAGCTCTGACTTTGCCAGGAGCAGCTCTATAGCAGGATGGAGTCACCTGACTCAGCTCGAATGTGGGATACCCTTTGCAGCAGCAGCCCGGCACACAGGGCACTGTGCAGTGCTGAGACACGGCAGCTATGGATGTGCCTGTGGACATACAGGGAAAACCATGAGTGAAACGGGAAAGTCAGCATAGCAGAAACAGAAGTGTGTCCTCAACCCTCTTTGCTAAGCAAGGGAAGCTTTGCAGGAGTATTACTGCTATCTTTCAAGAAGTTTGTTTTGAGGATAAGAAGAAGAGCAATTCATGGAATTAGAACTCCCTGCTCCAGCAGGTGAGACTCAATAACAAGAACTTGGGAATTTCCCCCCCTTGAAAGTGCTATTTAGACTCTTGCTCTGTGAGGCTGGGGTCTCCTGATGCCTTATGTGCCAGTGATGGACACACGCAGCAGCTCAGCTGAAGGAAGAGAGACAAATGCTTACCCTGCCTACAAAGAAATGAACGGAGGTAATCTTAGATCCATGGAAAAGAAATGATTACTCAGCAGGGGAATTTCTGCATGAAGATAATAGTCAGGAACTGATTTCCTCTGAGCTACTTTATGGTTAGCAAGATTAATCTCCCTTCATATGAGGATCTCATAAATGTAGAAAACTATTTTTCCACATTTCCTTTATGGTCAGTGGAGAGTTCAGGCCTCATCAAAACTATAGTTCATCAACGTAGCCTTAGGTGAGGGTGATCCACCTAGAGCAGATATTTGTCTCCACTGGGTGAGACCTTTCCAACACCCACAGCTCAGTAAGGTAAATTCCACCCCAAATTCAGGTGCCAACTTTCTGACAAGGGGAGAGCGTCTTTTTAGAAGAACACCTGAAAGAGGAGCCACAAGAAACAGATACCATAGAATCACAGAATAGTTAGGGTCGGAAAGGACCTTAAGATCATCAAGTTCCAACCCCCCTGCCATGGGCAGGGACACCTCACACTAAACCATATCACCCAAAGCTTCATCCAACCTGGCCTTGAACACTGCCAGGGATGGAGCAACCCACTCCAGTGCCTCACCACCCTAACAGGAAAGAAATTATTCCTTATATCCAACCTAAACTTCCCCTGTTTAAGTTTTAACCCGTTACCCCTTGTCCTATCACTACAGTCCCTAATGAAGAGTCCCTCCCCAGCATCCCTATATGCCCCCCTTCAGATACTGGAAGGCTGCTCTGAGGTCTCCACGCAGCCTTCTCTTCTCCAGGCTGAACAGCCCCAACTTTCTCAGCCTGTCTTCATACGGGAGGTGCTCCAGCCCCTGATCATCCTCGTGGCCTCCTCTGGACTTGTTCCAACAGGAACATGGAAGGGAGGAAGCTCCTGAAGACGTGTGAACTCTGCAGGCGACAGCAGCATCCCACACATGTGGTGTGTGCAAGGTTGCTGCAGATGGGACATGCTATCCATTAGGACAGCAATTAAATGGCTACAAATACCTCTGAGCTTCTCTTGATCACCCTCTTACATCCAGGTAGGATGTAACACAGGGGTACCGCTGTTCTGATGACAGATCTACTTGGAAGAGCATCTGCGCAGTGAACACAGCTATAGACAACAAGCAGAACAAGTGTTCCCCAGGATTTATTCACTGCCCAACTTGCTGGTCTACCCTCAACAGTATTTTGGTTTTTCGACAGTAATTTTTCTGTATTTAAATACATGTAAAACTACTAATAAATGTATCAGTTTTGCTATAACATTTGGGGAAGGAAATGTAATTATTTTCTAAAAGTAAACAACAGGTAACTTTCCTTTAATTGAAAGAAAGTTTGGTTTCTGAATCACAGCAAACCAGGTTCCTGCTTTAAGCAAAGACACCACAATGGCTTGATCTCAAATCCCACAGAAACCTGCATCCACTGTTAGCTTTGTGCACTGCAGGTGTGTAAGAGTCAGAACAGGTCTACACCTTCCTAAGGTGTTGCACTGATGTAAAACGTGTTCCAGCACCACCACAGATGTCACACAAATAACACGCATACAAGGACTTCCAATCATGTGTCTTGGTACTGGAGGAATTCCAGAAAGATAGAAACTTAATCACAGGAGCAAAAAAACCCTTTAGCTGTAGCAGGTACTTTTGTGATGCTCTTTCAGAAGCTGTCACATAATATAGATGCTGTTCCTCTCAGCATCTTTGTAGTTTTGCCTGTAAATTCCTGTCTCCCTGTTCCCATCTATTTTTGGTAAGGCCAAAAGTCCCCCAGAGCACTATAATTACCTCTGTCAGAAATGTCAGAAGAGTTTACAGCTGAAGTAGGTGTTTGCCTGGAACAGGAGAACCAGGTACACCTCATGTGTGCTGGGGAGGTAATAAATCGAGTTGCTGCCACACCGCTTTCAGGGCAAGACTTGGGAATCTGGCTGTACTGGAGGGAGAGACTTCTGTAGCGTGTCTGCTGTGGAAAATCAGAGAAAATAAGTCATATTATCCAAGCCTCTGGGCTTGAACTGTGAGCCACTGAAGACTGAGCCAGATTAAATTATTTTAAATAAAACCTTACTTCATCTGTGGGGAGAAAAACCAGACGAGCCCCTTAATACAGATGCAGTAATTGAGGATACACTGGTGATGTTTGCCCTGCTTTCCCCCTTTCACAGAAGACATATATTTTCACAGAATCCCAAGGGTTGGGAGGGACCTCAAGAGATCATCTGGTCCAACCCCCCTGCAAGAGCAGGGTAACCTACAGTACATCACATAGGAACTTGTCCAGTCGGGCCTTGAATATCTCCAATGTGGGAGACTCCACAACCCCCCTGGGCAACCTGTTCCAGTGCTCTGTCACTCTCACAGTAAAGAAGTTCTTCCTGATGTTAACGTGGAACCTTCTATGCACCAGTTTACACCCATTGCCCCTTGTCCTATCACTAGATATCACTGAAAAAAGCTTATTGCCAGTCCTCCCTACAACATCCCAGGGTTAGAAGCTCTCTGCCTAGTGTGAAATAAGTGAGCTCTTACTTTTAACAAGAAAAGTCAAATTCTGTTACGGCAGTGTTAAAATTCAGTCGCATCAAGCTTTATGTGTAACTGAGCATCCATCCACCTGAGCACTGAAAACTGCATTTTCAACAACACATCAGTTGGCAGGATCTTATTAAGAAATGTAAAACCACCCAAAACACATTATTAGCAAGAGTAAGCCTTGCAAAGACTTTTTAGAAGGATGCTAATGGCTTAGACCTCGAGTTCAGATTTGGGGAATGCAGAATATCAAATAGACACTAAAAGCAGCTTTTGTGTGCATCTTTGCTCCGAGGCACCGGGGCCTCAGGGCATTCCCATCTCCCACTGATTCTATTAAGAATATTGGCTGTGCAGTACACCTCAGAAGTCAGACCTTTGTGTCATAAACTGGGCACTCAACTCTCACTACTGCTTTAAAACTGGGGATTTTAACTGTTCCATCTCTCTAGTTTCCCGGTATTTTTCAGGTCAACAGAAAATACAAAGAAATTCAGATTCTGCAGAAAAAAGCACTTGTGACAAGTGCATTGTCATGTACTTGTGGCAACTCTCAGCACATAACCTCAGAGCAAAAGACTCCATCTCTGGCCATGGATACCCCAACTTCCTCTGTGGAACAGGGGATAGCTGTGGGCTGATACAAAAGCTGCCAGTACCCATTCACAGGGGAAGCAGATTAACACCCTAAGCCACCAAATAATTTCCATTGTGTATATATATGCAACTGCGTGAGCAAAATACCCATGTTTTGCTGCACATTATGCTCCATTATTTTTGAATACAATGCTTTCCCTTGGCATTAGTACTAAATGAATGGTAAGTTGATTTCAGCTGAAGGACTAAACAAACAAGCACTAACAATGAGAATAAATCAGATTGCTGCAGCACTTTCAAGTGGCTGGTAAAAATAGTATTTTAATCAAATAACTCAGCTGTAACTGCCATGAACTGCTGGGGAGGTTAAGGCTCTAGCTCAGTATTCTAGTGAGAAAACACACAGAATTATTCAAACCACACAATTTCATCGCCACCGCTTGACTTGGATTTAAAGCCGAAGATGGGAGGCCGAGTTCCCATCCCCACTGCCAAGTTGAAGCCACCAACAGAACAAGGGTTAATGGAATATTCTGAAAGATGAGCCATTTAACAGAGAATTGCAGTGTGTATAGGAATTCCTGTGGTCAGGCTGGGGTGGGTACCTTCAAAATAAAGGGGGGGTGGGGGGTGGTCTTTTGGTGTACTCCAAAATGAGGCATAAGGCCATAGGACTCTAGACTAGTGTTTATGAGGTGAGAGCTTAGCATGCAGTGGCCACACTTGCACAGGAGGCGACTGCTCCTATACTGTGGGGATACTGCGAGATGAGTAACGGGGAAGCCTGAGCTGCTCAAACAGAGCGATGCTGAAAATCAAAGCGAACACTGCAGGTGATGCCACTCACGTGGCTGAAGTTAGAATGTGGCTCTGAAGGATTTAGCACTCAGTGGACACTGTGGGAACCTCACTTCAGCAAACTCTGTCAGGCCTCTTCATGGGCAACAAGCAATGTACAGTTTGAAACATGTTCTCAGTTAGCATCAGTGGAATGAGACATAATGTGACTGCAGTCTGTGCACCTGTGTCAGATTAAAACCAGTCCTTAGCTTGCCTTAGACATAACAGAGTTTGTGTTCAAAGGAATTAGAGCTGAACAGAGCTGAGAACGTTATTTTAAACCTTTTTTTCTACAGAGAGCCTTACCCAGGGACTGCCAGATGATGTTTTGAGACCAGAAGACAGTCATCTTATTCAAACTTAGGCACAGACCTTCTGAGTTCCCACATCCAGCCCAGCAGCAGCACCCGAACCAGAACACTTCCAGAAAAGCATCTAAAAAACCCGCATAAACCTGCTGGGATCCTGGGTGACCTGTTCCCTCCCTGCAAGAAACTTGTTTCTGGTTCTACATTTACACAGCTACAGCTCCATAGCCTGGCGGTCACGTCTTTGCCTATGGATTAAAGAGTCTCTTCAAATTTATGTTCACCACCTAAGTACTTCGGGGTTATGATCAAAGCGCCACATAAGCTCCCTTTGATACACGGTATGGATTGCGCTCCTTGACTCTCTCGCTTGCTCTAAGGACTTTTTCAACCTTTTAATATTCCCCTCTCTGAATCCTCTCCAGTTCTCAGTGGCTGAAGTGAAGAGGAAGATCAAGTCCCACACATATAAACACGTTCCATTTCTCTTTTCTGCTGCCCAATACTAACACAGGGGTGCTGTCAGAGGCCTCTTAAACCCAGCAGCCTGAACTCTTTGCTAGAAAACATCTGATGCCAACTTAGACTAAAACCAAACTTACCAAAAGGATATGGTTAATAAAACCTACTTTGATTGTGGATGTCAGCATAGAGTTAGAGGTTGGTAACAGTGACAACAGCTCTGGCTTCAGAAGTAAAAAGGACTAAACCATCAACTGTCTCAGTAGTCATAAAAACGAAAGAAAAGGACACACTAATGCAGTAGAGTTTGCTCAATAGAGAGCAGTTGAAAGTGTTGCACTTTTCTGTGAAAGAGAATATTCCTCAACTCTAACTGTCCTGCAACTGAAGCAGGCATTTGTAATGAAACAAAACACTCAGCAGGAAATCTATCACCAGTGCTGCACGGCTGCTCTCCTACACCACTGCTCTGCCCACCCTCACCAGAGGGCCCTGCATGGGCCGGGGTTAGGCTGTGCCCCACACACTGCCCCTGCCCCTGCTCCCCTGTTCTGTCTCTCACAGCCCAACCTGGAATAAAGATCATCCGCTTTCCTCCCTCTGCCTCCACAGGCCAGTCTGTCACAGCACAGCACAGCGCAGCAGGGTCAGGAGCTGCGGGAACAGATGTGTGGCTGCACCAGTGCCTTGAAGCAGGCAGATAGGCGAGATGCTCCCGGCATAAATCAGCACGATCACAGCTGAGCGAGGATGAACAAAGCGTCTGCAGCTGCACTGGCTCAGAAGGACCAAGGAGCCCAGAGAAACGTGCAAGAAAACAGGTTCATCCCTGTGGAGCTGACACCTTCCTCACTGTGCTGGCACTCACCCTGTGCCCAGCTCCAATGGCTGCACTGAATCTGTGTGCAACAGGGGTTTGCATGTTTGCTTCCTGCAGTGATAAGTACTGCTGGGGAGAAGGGTATATGCCCATGATATTATTGTTTCCCTGCCTTTTTTCCCCATTAGGAATCTGTAGGTCTTGCTTGGAAGTGGGTGCGCACATCAGCCGGTGCCAGGCTGAGGTGTGACGTGACACCAGCCATGATACAGCTCAATGGGTTCAATAAACCAAGTGGTTGCTAGATGGTAATATTGTATATACAAAAAATGAGAATTCATCTGTCCCCAGAGTAATTAAAATAATTGTCACCAGAGGAAAAAGCTCTGTGGAATATTGCTCCATATTGACTTTGATGGGAAACTACTTCTGTGACTGATAAATCAGGAGCAGACATTTGTGCCATGAACCCCTGCTTTCCAGTAAGATCTTTAATTGACTTCTCCATAAAGATTATGAATGACTTGAAAACTGGTTTATGCCACAGCCAGTGGTCCTTCACTCTTCACACCAAGTATTTAAATGTCAATCTATTAACAAGTTGTCCACTGGGAACAAGGCTGCCCTTGGAGGCTGGGAGCTCAGGCTGTGTTCCTTATTAGCTCTTTCCTAGTCCCTCTATGGTAATTTAACCTAAGGTAAACCAACATGTGGATGATTAATTCACTTACAAGAAGTGCATCACTGTAGTTTTGATTACCCACCTCTATTATTTCTTCCTGAAAAAGTTAATTCAAACAGTTGCAAATGAAGCCTTTTGAGTCCAGTTTTACCCAATTAAGGTTATTTAAAAGGCAAAAAACCTACAACCCTGCAAAATGCTATGGAACAATTCCCGTAAGACTTTCCCCGAAACTAAGCCTTTACTTTATATCCAATATTCATTTCCATAAGGAAAAACTTAAGAAAAACCAACCCCAACACAAGACTTTATGAGCTGAAGCTTCCCCTACTTTGTGTGTAGCTCTATCAGCAGCTGGGCCAGCCTGCCTCCTGCATTTTGATGCCTCATGCAGGTCCTGAGCTCACATCTGATAGCAACAGATATGGTTAAAGGAAGGAACAAAAAAAACAGGTGGAAATTATTACTGCCTTGCTTTGCCTTGGCACTGCATGTAGAAGCAACTTTGATCATGTCACATTCCCCTGAATACACAGCACGAGAGCCTGAAACATCTCCGTTAAGAGACGTGAAATGCAACAGCAGCCTCCAAAACAATGGAAGAGAAACCCTAAGATGCCTTTCTATACTGTCACATGCTAGTTAGAGGTCCTAATGTGCTCTCCAGCCCTTGCTAGGAGAGGGTCTCTAGTATATACCATCATGCCGTCATCCCTGAG